CACCCCCCCCCCACCCCCCACCCCCCACACACACACACACAATAACGTGTCAAACGTTTTGATGCAGAATTAGTCGATTGATGCGGTTAAACAAAGCCTGTGTATGTAAAACACAATGCTTTGCCACTTGGGTGGCATTCCATATTGGGACATCTAATTAGGGAGCATCTTTTTTGCTTCTTTTATAAAATATTTTACCAGGTGGAATCAAAAGGCACCATTTCAGGAGAGGTCCGATGACACATGGATCAAAGAGCCATAGACAGCTAGGTTCAATAGGGGCAGGGACGACCCCCGGGCGTGTTTACCCTGGCAAGAAAATGCCGGGAAGAATGGGTGGGACAAAGAGAAAGATACGGAAGTTGAAGGTCGTCAAGATTGATGATGAGCTCCGGATTGTGCTGATCAAAGGTGCTGTTCCTGGTAAGCCGGGAAATCTTCTCAGAATCGCTCCAGCAAAGATTGTAGGGGAAAACATCCCAAAGAGCTAAGCCGCCCCCTTTTCTGCTACTTACCCATTCCCTTTACTCTGTAATTTGTTGTAATATATTCTTTTAATTGATGAATACAAGCAGTGTTTTCATGTTTGTTTTTGGGCCAGTATTTTTCATATCACCATTTTGGCTGTAAGCATCTCATCAGACAGGATTTTTAAGAATTTCTATGTCCAAAACATAATATTCTCGTTATGTTCTACTACAATTAAAGTTCATTCACGATAAATTGGTAGGGTCAAAGGTATAATAAAACAATAAGAATATTATACATCAAATTTGACACAAAAGTTGACATCATTAGACTATTTTTCAAGCGTAATCGTTAGTGATAAACTATTATCCATGAAACTCAATCTCAGTGTCATCTTTGGTTTATTGTAACATGTCCAAATCCTCTCAAGCATAGAGTCTAGGGACTAGGAAAATAGAACTCACATCTAGTTCAAAAAATATAGAAATTGTTATCGAAATGGTCTATAAGTAGCAAGTTAATGTGAGGAACAAGAAGAGACCTACAACAACTCTACAACATATACGACTCTCGCACACATCAACCTTAATTGCTCATCCTGGCATGACCAAAACCATTTTCAAGCAATTTGGGAAAATGGTCAAGTTTAGGAGGTTCTATTCCACCATTTGGTATCGGCATGAAGAGCGCATAGCTATAGTATTCAAAATGCCTATTATGGAACCACATGGGAACATAAAACCTCAAGATTTTAAAAAGCAACAAGCCCAATAAAATCCTACAAAAGTAAGGTCTGGGGAAAAAAGAATGGACAAAATGATGCATCATTCAAATTACGCGCGTATAAAATAATTTGATAAATAGTTGCTGAAGCCGAAGCATCCTACAAAATAGCAGCGTCAAATTATGAGGTGTGGGATTATCTCATGCAATTCAGCCTAAACTATTATTTACTACTACCCCACAAGTAAGTGTTACTAAAAACTAAAGTCTACTACTACTACACACTACTATACATTGGCAAAAAGAGGAAATCATGCCGTATCACCAACACCACATGCTCTCCATCTCAACTCACTCAGAGGGATTGTACCGCAGATGTTGCTCGTAGAAGTTTATCAGCTGCACAGTTTAGCAAAACACATCACATAAGTTACACTTGTTAGTCTTCGAACAATATCAGACTTGAAACTGGGAAAATTTTGTGTACCAGAAGTGGATTGTTTGCCTTTAGAAATTTGCTGTCCACTGTTATCTCTTTCCCATCAGACCTATAGTGCAGAATGCAAATAGGTTCAAGTACAGTCATCAATGTCTCAGATGGCTATGAATGAATCATCAGTGTATCATAAGGGTTCTACATTCGTTTAGGAAACCGGTGGTAAAAACCAAACCACATGAACCAAGTATAAAATTCTTATGACATGAAACCGTATATATTATATGCCAGTCTTTCTTCAACTGATTCAGAAAACTTTTACACTACATGTTTATTTAGATATTAACTGGCAGATCAAAGTCTTGGAAAACGAGAGAGATTTATAAAGGAGAAAAGTTGGCAATGAGTAACAAACCTCTTGGCCAAAAAGGTGATTGAAACTTCTTGGACTCCATTGGATACAAAGGCTTGATAGCCAACTGGTTTGACAATCTGCGTAACATTATATACATCTTCAAAATTCTTGTAAGCCCAGTCGTTTTTCACCCATGGGTTCTCAATTCCTTCTGGTGCAAGAACTGCATTAACATTGCCACTTGGTTCCCTGGTTGTATCATCTGCCGCGCCATCACACGTATTGGAGGGAGACTCTTTCTTGAATCTCTTGACAGACCCCGACTTCCTCCTCTTAGCTCCGATGGACCGACCCGATTGATCCTGAGTTTTGTTATTATTTACAAGAGCGCCACTGGCTAAAGGAATCTCCCTCAGTTCACTGAGCTTTACATCCAAGTCATTTTCTTCGCTCGTTTTCACATGAACAGACGAATCCGCTGCCTCGCCATCCTCGTGCACTGCCAGCTCAGCTTCATTGTTCGCCTGATGATCCATGACATCATCGCGCGATGATGCCAGGGGCAAAGGCTCATCAACTAGCCTGACCACCACAGGCTGCGAACTGCACTCTGCTACTCTAGGGGTACGCTGCTGCTGTTTCGGTTTTTTCTTCGGTTGGGTCGGGGTGACTTTATGCTTGCGCTTGCGCCCGCGGGTGGATCTTGACCGCGAACTTCACACAATAAACAGAAGAGGGGAAACAAATCAAGATTGCAGATTTTCACAACAAGGAGATATCAATGTTCCAAGATTTAAACCTTTCTTCAAAAGCCTCGATGAAATCGGAGCAGGAAGACAAATTCTCCACGGGCTCCCATGTGTTTGCAGTCTCAGGCCAGCCTCGCCTTTCGCAAAATAAACACCAAACAGCTTAGAAACATGGGGAAAAAACGTCTACGAACCAGAACAAAATACTAATTGAGAGGAACAAGAAAAGCATAATGCTTACCATTTGATCAAGTACTGAACTTTGCCCTTTTGTATTCCAGCAGGGAGATGAACAGAATCATCAAAAACAATGGGGGAGAAATCAGGTAAAGAAAGAAAGAAATTGGGGAAAATGGAGAAAAAGAACACACACAAAAAATGCAATTTTTTCTTAGTGATAAAAGATTGTACCTTTCGGACTCTCTTCTTCCGTACAGCTTCAATCTCGTAAAACCCTTCTGCTAGCTTAGGTCTTCCGTTTCGCTCATCGTACGCTTCCCCTCGGATCGATAACTCATCGAATTCTTCTTCTTCCTCCTGCTGCTCCCCGTCAACGACCTCCTCCTCCGCCGCCGCCGCATCAGTCCCGTCGCTCTCCGCCGTAACACCCAAAGGCGACCCGGAGAAACCGGCGCCGCCGCGGCCGTCCTGGGAGACCTGTGAGGAAGATTCCGGATGAAAAATTTTCCTTTTCCATGCCTTCATCTTCTTTCTCCCACCCAAAAACGAACTCCCTCTTCTTTCCCTCTCTCTCTCTCTAGTTTCTCTCTCTAAAAATTCCCCCTTTTTTCTTCCCCCACAGTGCTTTGACGGGAGAGAGACTTTTTTGAGCTTGTCTGTCTGGTAGTTGATGACAGACAGATAGTATTTTTCAATTTCTTTTTTTTTATCGTCCGAGAAAATGTGGAGCGGACCATTCGAAAGTCCAAAAAGATTGAAACTTGTTCCTGTTTTCTTGTCTTCTTTAATTTTGTTCTTCCAAAATCTATTCCCCCTTAAATCGACATTAATACACGGTAAAAAAGTTCTTGAAATTAAAAAGATTAAATGTAGTCGTATTAATAATTAATTGATACATTTTGTCATTAAAAAATTATTAGGAAAGTGCAAAAATCCTGAATATATTTATTTAAAATTTTAAAAAATCATTAAAGATGCTTTAAAAAATTTAAAAGTATTCAATTGTTATTTTTAAAAAAATTTTGAAAACTATAGTTATCCATAATAGAAGAAATGGAAGTATTTCTAAACTTTTTCTCTTTGATTTAAACATGAACCTGACATCCTTAATAATTTAACTTCGTTTAACATCTATATGACTCATTCTTAGCGTACTTAATTTTCCTTCCCCATCGAATAATATAATCACTAATAGCATCTTTGAATGCTTGCTTAGTATTAAATTCCATACCCAGTCCAACACTGTTAGAACATAAATAACTCTTCCTGAGCCACAATTACATGTTTGAATTTTTGGTTGAATTAGTTCCTTGACATAGTATCAGAGTCTTGTTGAGTAAGACGTCACATGTTCGAAACTCAGCACCACCAATTTTAAAAAAAATAAAAGTTTCACGTGCAATAATATAAAAAACTCTTCCTGGACCGCAACCACAAGCTTGAACTTTTGGTTGAATTGGTTCCTTGACAAACCCCGACATCTTCAAACCAAGCATTTGAATTAAACTAACTAAGGCTAAACAGGTTATATGGAATCTTCGTCAGAATCTAAAGGCATGTCATTGTCTTTGGAGTGCCATGAATTATCTTCATCAACGCCTTAGAACATCCATCTAAAAAGAAGAAATTAATGGTTTGATATCAACTATTATTTAATTTCAGACCTTGAACGTACTAATGCATGTTGTTGTTTACACTTTTATCAAATTGATGGAGTTCTTATGAATGATGATTTGTATGAAAGATTTAGAGGGATGATAGGAATACATTTCTTTAGTTCCAGAAAAATAGTTAAACTTATCACACAAAAAGCCAATCAATTTGAATACAAAGTAATAACTAAATTTATGGAGAGTCAAATATATAGTAAAACTAATCAGATTAACACTAAAATATTTCTTGTAAAACTCAGAAAACCCATCATAAAGGACCCCACAGAAACAAGAAGAAAAACAATTAAAAAATATGTTTTTGCACCTTTGAATTGATGACGATCAAATCTGCCTCTAACGCTGGAATTGTGTTCTTCGGTTTCAGAGAGAATGAGTGAGAGATGTAAAGTTCTGTTCCAGTGTTTGTAAAGAAGACGATGAGGCTATGTTCTCTTCATCTGATCTGATTGAAATAAATTCTAATCTGGATGTGGTTATATTTAAAGTTATTTCTGATCTGATCTGTAACTAATAAAAATAAGTAATAAGTAAAAAAATAAGTTGAGGATAATATGACCCAAGTCGTACTTAATTCACACTTATATCTACCAATGGGCTCTACAATTCTTTTGAAAATGCCACGTTATTGTCACGCTATTTTTGACGAAGCCACGTTATTGCCAACTCATCCTGATACACATGAGAAATGCCACCTCCATTCTGATCTTCCTATCTTTATTGGTGGGCGTTGCGTAGTTGGCAAGATAAAGGATGTCAAGGGGTATGATCCGAGTTCGATTTCTGGCAATTGCGCTGGAAGGCAACTATGCTACGTATAGGACTTCTGCAAGTATCTATTAATCTGTGATTAAAATCCAATTTACTTTTCTCAGTGACCGTCTGACCGGATCTAAGGGTTTGTCATAAATTACAAGCATAGAGGGGGGTACACCAAGCAAATCTACTTAAAAATTACGCCAAATGTGTACACCATTTCTCACCCGATTACAACTATTGGATTTGTGGAAGGAATTGCTGGTCAGGGAAATGGCCCTATCTGTGATATACTCAGTTGCTCCCAGGAGGGTTCTTTCCAACATTTACGCCGGCGAATTCAAGGTCCCCTCATTCGGGAAACTCTTCGCGCCTCCAATTTCATCCCTTCCCAACCAGTGCTTTCGGCGTCGTTGCCGGAGCGCCGCCGCAACTGCGTTGCCGGCGGATGCTTCGACTTCCGTAGATTATAGGGAAAGACAGCTAAGCGGAAGCCCTAAGCTCGTTGCATTGGAATACGCTGATCTCAATCTCACTGATAAGTCCTGCGAGGTTAGGAAAATATTACCTAAAGGTTGGATGAGGCTGGATAAAGATTTCATGGTTTTTAATTTTGTAAGGTTTTATGATTTGGGTGTTAGAACTATTGGTTTTCACTTGAAACTAGCATAGGATTCCACCATAAAACTTCAATCTTGATAGGGGTCCTTATTTGATTGTATCTTTATATCTGGTCTAGAGAAGTCTTCATATGCTCATTGTTGTGATACCATATTAAGATTCGAAGATTCGATATTTGGTAGAGTTCGATACCATATTAAGATTCAAAGTTCCATCCTATGAATTCAACCTTATAGGAGTTGTGATCTCAAAACAACTTATATGTTATTAGGATTTATCTCTAAATTTGGACGATGTCACATGCCTTACCAAAATTTACATCTTATAATTGAAAAGCAGTTTAATTTGCGTTTGGAAATGAGCTGAAGTCTTCTCTTCTTTAAATACTACGGATATATAGCATCTAGCTCTTTGCAGCATTGTGTTTCTTGGTATTGTTAGTTTACTCATGACATGATTTGAAGAGTACTCTCGTGAATCAGTTGACCACCAAAGAATTCTTTGCTAAATGTGGTGTTGCAGGAAATTGGTCATGTCCGAATAAGGCAACATGTTAACCCTTTGCGCTCTTCCCTCATGGTATTCCTCACTGTTTTGAGTTTCTTCTTCTGATTAAAGTTTTAATTTTGTAAAAACAGAAAACGTTAATTTAAACATTTTTATGCGATAATTCTAATATGGAGTATTGTGTGATTTATTCACTTGATTTTTTTTTTTTGTGAAATGCATATTGTTATGAGAAGGCTCCTGCAGAAGCACCAAACTGGGATGAGGTGTATAAAGACACATCATTGCCGCTGATGGTGGATATAGGAAGTGGTAAGGACCAAAGAGTATACTCATACATTTCAGATACAATTGCTTATTCTTCGTGGATTATGTCTGATGACCTTCTTGCATGTTAAATTGGTTCTATAAGTTACAGATCTTTATTATGCCCCTCATGCCTCTCCCGGCCATGTTCCAAGATTTGAATGTTGTTTTTTGGTACAATTGTGTAATGGACATGTCAATAGCAAATATCTCAAGTTATCATTGTATTATGATATTTTCCATGTAAGTTGAAATGATGATGATGTACTAACGGTTTTAGAATCTTCATCTTGTTTTTTCTCCTTAAGAAGGTGAGACAAGGAGGGCATCCAACGCACTCCATTTGTCCTAAAGTTAACATCTAAAGCTGACTTGTCACACATATTAAGAAAGTGAAATTGTGTAGATGTAGGTTATTTAGAAGTGAAAGAAATACATTGCACCGCCCAAAGATTTCTATAAAAGGTGCAAACAACAACCCTAAAAGGAAAGTGGGGAGAAAGTTTTAGGACACATTGAGTGCAATATTGCCATTATTATTATTATTTTGCATGAATTTACAGAATTAAGTGACTTGTACGACTACTTGGCACTATAAGTCTAATGCTACCAACCCCAACGAATTGAGATTAAGGTTTAAGTATAGCACAGAGGGAACCTTTTGCTTCCAGTTAAATAGTTTAGTTGCTCCCATTTCTTTCGCTTTTCCTCATTGACAAACACTTGCTTTCTATGGTAGATCTGTTGTATAATGGTCTGACAGCAATTCTGTGCAGGCAGTGGCAGATTTCTGTTGTATCTTGCTAAGCAATATCCCAAGTCCAAAAACTATCTGGGATTTGAAATTCGGCCAAAAGTAATGCAAATCTAGTCCCCCCATATATTTTTGTATTTAGTGATTTAATAATTCTTGATTCTTTGCCAGTAAAAAGTTTATTTTTTCCATTCTTTTTTTTTGGGCACTTGTCTTCTGCAGCTGGTTACTCGTGCAATGCACTGGGCAAGCGAGCTAGGTCTCAGAAACATGTAAAGATTTAGAGAAATTTTATTTTCTGTTGAGAAAATCTGTTAAGCTCTATTTAATCACATTTAATATGCAGGCATTTCATGTTTGCAAATGCCACAGTTTCTTTTGGGAGAGTTGTATCTACATATCCTGGACCCTTACTGTTGGTTTCTGTCTTGGTGAGTCCACCATGCCGTTTGCTTAATTTAAAGGATTTCAGAAGAAATGTTTGAAATTTCTATCGATTAAAACATAACGGCTACTTGCCCATATCTACAGTGCCCTGACCCTCATTTCAAAAAGAAGCATCATAAGAGAAGAGTTGTGCAAAAGCCATTAGTTCAGTCCATAGTTGATCGTTTAGCACTATGTGGTCAGGTACACACTGAATTTTGGTTTCATAGTGCATAATGAGACAATTAAGGGGTTTCTCTGTGATGATGGTGCTTATTAGCTTATTGTTGATAAGCAGTTATTAACATATAAGCTGCTTATAAGCTCAACATTCTTCTGTGGAAGTAAAATGACTTAAATAATAGATGTCATTTGGAAATATTCATAAATATTGGGGGATAGTTTTGTAAATAATCTGGTCAAAATGAAAAATGAAAAAACTTGCTTAAAATTAAATAGATAAGACCTACTTATTTTTATGGCTTATAAACAGCTTAAAAGTCAGCTTATAAGCACAAAAACATGTCATCGGCTGACTTATAAGCACAGAGAACCACCCAATAAATAATACTTTCAATTCGCACATTGTGATTTTCTGCGAGCAGGTCTTCATACAATCTGATGTGCTGGAAGTGGCTAATGACATGAGAGATTGTTTTGATGGTGTGCCGAAGCTTCTTCACGCGGACGCCATTGATTCTAATGTGCTCTGTGACAGTGATGGATGGGTGTTGAACAATCCCATGGGGATAAGAACTGAAAGGGAGATTCATGCAGAATTTGAAGGGTCCAGAATTTACAGAAGGCTATATGAAAAGGTTGATGACTGATTCTGAAGCATTTCTTCAAGCTGATATTCTTTTTGAAGGGGAATTCTGACATTTCCCAAATCCTTCTCGTCCAAACGGATCCTTACTCGTTACCAAACAGAGAAGCAGAGATTGAATGCGCCAAATCTTTCTCAACTTTTGCGTTCGGATCCAACACTTTATATTGGTTTGATCTTTTCAAGGGCGCAAAGTGCTAAAACAACATTTTTTATCGTGCAACGCAGAAGTACAAAGGTAACAAGTAATAACAGATGAATCTAAGTACTCCATCTCTATGAGATAAATAAAGACAAAAATTAAAGATGTTAAATCAAAGAACAAAAATATATCGCCTAACATTAGAATTTGACATCATACTCAAACAATAATTATCAATGTACGGAGTGTATGTTTGTAACATTAGTTTTGGTGTCAAAACTGACCTTAGGCCGTACGGTGTGGGTGGCATGGCTCTTGAGGGAGCCGTGATGGCTGATGTGGTTACTACATTGGCTTCTTTTGCTCTGGTCCTTTGTTCTCTTCTACTTCCAGTGTTTATTTGTTTACTTTTTAATTTCAATTTTTTTTTACTTTTTATTATTTTCCAGTTTTAATTTTTTTTGTTTTTTTTGTTTTTAATTTAAGGTTTCCTTTTTATGTTTTAATTAAATTTTAATGAGAATTTTATTTTATATTTTAAGTTTAAATAATTTAAATTGAAATACGGAGTAGTTTTTAAAGAAAAAAAGGATGGGCATGATTCACACCCTTGACCAGTGCCTATACAATACATTTGTATGTACGGTGTTGTCCGCACGTCTACATGAATACTCATTCTCAAATAACTAAATATTCATTTTTGAGTAGCTAAATATTTATTTTCGAACATAACTGAATACTCACTTTCGAATATAATTGAATTTCAAACATATAATTGTTCACTTACTTGAAAATAAATATTCAATTACTGAAAAATCAATATTCAATTAATAGAAAACGAGTACTCACCACGGATGTACAAGAAACATCATAAATGCACTTAAGAGGGTGTTTGACAGTGTACTGTTTTTAATAATTTAGTTTCTGCTTTGAGTAGAAGTGATTTTATTCTGTTTGACATGTTAACTTCCACTTTTTACCACCATTATTTTATACATAAAGCACAGTTTCGGAGGATCAAGTGTGATAAGTGAAAATCACTTTATCAATTAAATCCGTCCAATATAACCTTATCTCATTTGATTGGAACACGGAGAAAGAACACGTAAAATACGCGGAGGAAAACTAATCAATTGATTTCTCCCGTTCTTTAAAATCCTTTCAAACACCTTCTTCTTCTTCTTCTTCTTCTTCTTTCTTATTACAATTCTCTGGATCGGCACAAGACTTCTTGCAATTATTCAATTGATTCTCCCTTCAAGTGAAAAAAAAAACAATAATTAATGGGGAAAGACAAGCCAGCCGAGAGCGATGAAAAGGGGCTGTTTTCTAATCTAGCCGGATTCGCCATGGGATCCGCCGCCCATCACTTCCCGGGGCATCACGGCGGCGGCGGCGGCGCTTACCCTCCTCCAGGATACCCGCCTGCCGGAGTATACCCCTCGGGAGGATATCCTCCTCCCCCTCCTCCTGGTGCTGGGTACCCTCCCGCCAGTTATCCGCCGCCCGGAGCTTACCCTCCCCAGGGTGGACATCATGGTTACCCTCCTGCTGGCTACCCGGGCCCATCAGCTTCACATCATGGTAACCATCTCAATTCTTTCTTTTTTTATTATTCACGCGATATCTTTTTTTAATACTCCCATATATATTATGATTACTTTCTTTCATCCTTTGATGCCAATTTGTAGCATATTTTGTTTTATTTGGTACACGGAATTCAAATTATAGAATTAGGATTGGGGATAACAATTTCAATTTTGCTTTTTGATAGTACAAAAATATGTGAATTTGGAATTAGTAGTGTCAAAAATGAATTGGAATTGGAGGATTCAATTTCATAGGATTTCAACTCCAAATTCAATTCCAATCTCGTGTACTAAATAGACCCTCATCTTTTCATTTTTAGCAAATTTTGTGTGGCCCAACGTCTTTCTCTTTTCTCATCACTTACAAAAATACAATTCCACTTTTCTTAAACATTGTGCCAAACCCAATTAGAGGCATTTTAGGGGACAGAGGGAGTAGCTTTTTTTAAAAAAAAATTACAAACTTGAGTAGTTTATGTATTTGGGCACGGTTCTATGGCCACTCTGTTTCAGTGGCCACGGAAAACACTAGACACATTTGGTGCTTTGTTCGTAAAATTGATAGTTCCTACCCCTTTAACCTCTTGTAACTCCCCACCCCCACTCAGTCCCGATCCCAACCATTCCTCATACCCACATCAATTGCGGAGTGCAAGTTTAGTTAACTTTAGGTCAAACAATTTGACCCCAAAGTCAACTAAACTTTTACCCATCAATTAACGTGGGTAGGGAATGGGTTAGGGTCGCGATGGGATGGGAGTTTACCGGTGGGTAAGAATTACTAATTTTGCTAAGAGATAGGTGGCTAATTAGGATAGTCTCCTCCGTGGCCACTCAAAGAGAGTGGCTTTGAGTGGCCATGTATATATAGTAGGTGCATTTCTACATTAGTCTCTAGCTTGTGGATGCATGTTTTATGTGCTTTGGTTCTATTCCCCCCCCCCTGTATGTTTTAGTTTATAATTTTTTACTAAAATTATTTCAATACAATTTATTTGATAGTTAGAGTAGCAATAAAAATAAGAAAAACATATTAAAAAACTACATGAAAAGCTTTACGAAACTAGAAGTGACATTACTATATTATTTTATCAAATGAATAACAAAAATAATGAATGAAAGTGAATGAAATTTTACCATGTGAATAGTAAACATGCAACTTAATTTAAAATAGAGGAAGTAATTTCTTTTTGGAGACCAAAGACAAGAGGAAGTAATTGCTAGTGTTGGTATGCATGTTTTATTTTTGTGTGCTCTTACGTTGTTAATAGTAAAGAGACAATTTAAGTAATTGCTAGTGTCGGTATGTTTCATGTTTATGTGTGTTTATGTTGTTATTGCGTCTATGTTTGAGCTATGTGTTTCTTAGAAATTGTCTCTCTACTTTCGAGTAGAGGTATGGTTCTCTACTCAGAAGTAAGATTTACTTCGAGTAGAAACATTGTCTCCCGAGACCCTACTTTTTGTGGTATTTTACTGAGTTCAGTGTATTTGTACATGCTTATGCCATGTTTATTCAATCTATATATGTGTGTACAATCCATAATACAGTAGTAAGATTGGGAATTGTGCAATTTAATAACACAGGGCCACATGGATCGAATATGGGATCAATGTTAGCCGGAGGTGCAGCGGCGGCGGCGGCAGTCATGGGAGCTCACGCCCTTTCACATGGTCATCATGGGCCATCTCACCACGGTGGCGGTTACTATGGCCACCACCATGGCGGCGGCTACTACGGGCACCACCATGGCAAAATCAAGCATGGCAAATTCAAGCATGGAAAGATGAAGCATGGCAAGTTTGGAAAGCACAAAGGGATGAAGTTCTTCAAGAAATGGAAGTGATATATTCATATATACTATATATATGTTCTTCCCTGGCTAACAAAGTAAACCCTATACATATATGATCCTGCATGGATGGAGATACATTGTTCTTTCAATTTCATTTTGGCTTTAGTTCTAGTTCCAAAGCTTTTGGAAGAAATGTCTTCCTAGCTACTACTTACTTTGTGCAATAAAATACTCCCTCCCTCAGTCTGGAAAAGTTTCTTGAGTTTATATTAAAAAGTCAACATAGAAGTAATTATAATTTGGTTTCTTCGATTGGTTTTTTTGTTCTACGGGTGGTTTTCGATTTTGATTCGGTCGGTTTACTATCGTTTTTTCGGTTTCAAAATGAAATCGATCATTGCTCAGCCCTAGTAATAATGGTGGTAGACGATGGCAGGGGTAGCAAAACTCAGGGGATCAAAATTCTCTAATTTGGAAGAGTTGTAAATTGTAATACATTTATATGAAGATATCAAATCTAAATTCTATAGATAGTGTTATTTAGGAGATCAAAACTCTCAGACTTGGGGTCGACAATCTCAACATTTGGAAAAAATATGAAACATTATTTAATGACAATATCATTTTTAAAGTTAATATGCACCATCAAAAAAATATTCCTCATTCAAATACTCACCCAACGGAGCCATTAATTCATTGATTGTGATTAAGAAGAGTGTCTAGCATACTCAACTTGAATTGAGTTTCTTTTTTTAGTACTTCCTCCATAGATCTTTTCATTATGAATTACTAGTATGAGGTTTAACTAATTTGATTTTTAATTCAATTTATTATATGGCACGTGTAAAATTTAAAAATAAAATTTATATAGTAAAAAAGTACATGAAAAATTCAAAAAAAAAAAAGAAGTTGCAAGACTATATTATTGTATGAAATGAATAGTAAAAATAAACAAAGTAAGTTGAGATAAGACCTGAGTTCGATTTCTAACAAGCGCATTAGGAGACAATTATGTTAAACATATGGTGTCTGCGATTATCAGATGTAGACTCTTCTCTTTAGCACTAATTTGTGATTAAAGCTTAATTTATCTCTACTCATGTGATCGTCCAACCAATTCTAAACTCTCTGGAAATAGTTCATTTTTTTTGTTTAGTTGTTAACATGATATCTAGCTTATTCATGGCATACTCTCTACAAAACAAAATTTATTTTGACTTCGATTTTATATAATACATCAAATGTTCAATATTTAAAATGACTGCAATAGGGAGTAATTCGAGATGCACCAAATTAGACATTATATATCTTGTATCACACATTTCTTATTCAAGATCTCGCTCTTGTAAGTTTTAGATTCTAGAAAAATAATATTGGCCCGTATGAGTAGCTCAACTGGTCCATTGAGAGGATGTCAGGCGCATTTATCTAGAGTCCAATCCCGACAGCGGTGGTGTGGAGTTCTATTATTTTTAATAGCTCTTTATACGTACCAGACATGAGACGGCTTTTCTAAAGACCAAATTAAAATTATATCATGATTTACCCTCTAAGAATCATATGTGGACACTCGGGTGGGTGTTCCACCTTTTTTTTTAAAAACAATATTCATATATGCTATAGAGAAAAGACATGTACAATTTGGTCTAGCAAGCATTTTTGTATAGGATGTCGGGAAGTGGTTGGTCAACTTTTTACTCCATCCCTCCAATAATAATGTTATGGTTTACTATTCATATAGTTAAATTTTATTCATTTTATTGGTCTATTTTCGTGTCGTATTTGATAAAATAATATAGTCATAACATTTTTAGTTTTGTAAATCTTTTTATGTAGTTTTTAAATCTGTCATTTTCATTTTTTAATTTCGTACCATTTTTGAATATAATTTAAATCAAAATATTGTATTGCGCACCGAAAATTTTATTTATAGATTTTTGACCTTGAGTGAACCCAGCTTGCAGCCATTGCTTTCATTGAGACCCTCCGAAATGCGGTGTTGTGGGGACACGATTCTGTTTATAATGAACCCAGTGAGTGAGGGAGAGGGGGGTGCTTGTCGCGATCCCTTCAAGTTTGGGTTTTTAACCTGCTTCCCTCATCCTTTCTCCTCTCCCGTTTTCAATCATCTTCCCCGGATTTTTACATACTTTTGCAGTATAAGAGAGAAATCAGAGACCCATTTCTGGTTTTCGAGGTTCATGTTTAGTTTGAAGCAAAAAAGATTCAATTTTTATGTCTGGGTAATCTTATAATGAGAAAGTTTATGCGCTTTCCCGAGCTTCTGGGAGCAAAATTTGGATTGTCTAATCTGTAAAAGTCAATTATGATGGGGTGTAGAATTTTCATTTGAACTCTGGAGGATGAGAAAAGCTTCACAGTGAAGGTGTGATTTTTCCCTTCTTGGATCCCCCCCAAGCTTTACAGTTTGTGGGTTATCTGTGTTAGCTTTGCTCTATAATTCTTTGTGCAAGATAACAGATTTTCTTGTTCTTGATCTTTGTTATTTGGTTTTGTGATTTGCAAATGAAACTGATGCATTCTGTTATGACTTATGAGAGCATAATAACTCTGTGTTATTTTTTCAAAGCAATTTGAAGAAAAAACTGAGAATTTGGTTGTGGGATCACAAGGTTGCTGATTTGTGTGGGTAATTATTTATTGGGCAGTTTATTATCTCTTTATTTAAGTGAATAAAGTCAAGAAACTGAGGTAAAATGTGATCTACTTGCATTTTTTTTCACATCAAGAAATGCTTTCATTATGCGCCCAAAAAGAATATCTTTAGTCTTTTTTCCTTAGAATCGCATTTTCACTCTCCCTGAATTCCCCCCATTTATATACACACGGAGTATATGGCCTAATCAAGAATAAATTTTGGATGGCCCTTGGGTGAATGGAATATGTTGCTAAAAGCCAAAATTAGCTGTCAGGGCTCAATCAATTTGGTGCCTTCTTTGATGTTCTTGGTTCCTGAAAAGTTCTCACCCTTAGGGACTGTTTGGTAAGAGTTATTCGGTTTAAATGGCTGAATTTTTCCTAGTTCAGTAACATCCATTTCAGCAGGATATGTAAGCCAATAGTTATGTTTACTCTGTTGAGAGAGAACAAGCAAGAACCGGTGGCTACCAAACATGGCCTTAATCTTTGTTTATTACTATATTGTTTTTCTTTTGCTGAGATTGTTCATGTCTGAACATTGACAGATGAATATTGCATCTATGGAAAAACACCTTTGCTGCAATTAATGGAGAAGTTGTGACCAAGAATGGATCCTCAGTCTTTCATCAGGTTATCAATAGGATCATTGGGACTGAGAATCCCCAAACTGCCCTCAAACACTCCGGAATCTCGTCCTTGCTCTTGTGAGATCCGTCTTCGAGGCTTCCCCGTGCAGACAACGTCAGTTCCCTTTTTACCCTCACCCGAAGCAACCCCGGATCCTAACAGCATAGCCTCCAGCTTCTATCTGGAGGACTCTGATGTAAAATCACTCCTCCAACCGGGCTGTTTCCACACGAACCACGCCTGCCTGGAGATAGTTGTCTTTACAGGACACAAAGGTACCCATTGTGGGGTTGCCATTAAGAGGCAGCAAGTTGGTACATTTAGGTTGGAAGTGGGCCCCGAGTGGAGTAAAGGGAAACCTGCCCTTCTCTTCAATGGCTGGATTGGGATTGGCAAGAACAAGCCGGGCGCTGGTGGCAAACCTGGGGTCGAGCTTCATCTACGGGTGAAGCTTGACCCCGATCCCAGATATGTTTTCCAGTTTGAGGAAAAGACTAAACTTAGCCCTCAGATTGTTCAGCTTCAAGGAACCATCAAACAACCAATTTTCAGCTGCAAGTTCAGTCAAGATAGGTAATTCACTGCATCTTCATCCTTTTTTATGTCTACAAATTTGTTCTGAATCTATTGTAAGTTTGAGTTTTCAGTTAGGTTCGGGCAAAAACAAAACTTTTCTGCCCGTGAGTATAAAACCTTTTCTGAGCCTTCAACCAAAAGTTTTAGCTTTTAGATGATTTTGTTCTTTGGCAGCATTGAAGTTTGATGATTGTGCATATTAATTGTGATGCATTTTATCTTCTTTAATGTTTTGCACATGCATAGCTAAGGTCAGAACAGAAACTCATGTTTTCTGAGCATGGTACATTAGTCATGTGAAAATGATCCTGGTTGTCTTGAAATGACAGGGTCCCACAGGTGGATCCATTGAGCAACTTTTCATCAGGCTTTCCCCATGGCTCAAACCTTGAAATGGAAAGAAGGGAGAGGAAAGGCTGGAAGGTGAAGATACATGACCTCTCCGGCTCCGCCGTAGCCGCCGCCTTCATAACAACTCCCTTCGTGCCGTCAACGGGCCGGGACTGGGTCGACCGGTCCAATCCCGGAGCCTGGTTGATCGTACGGCCCGACCCGTTCACGCCCGACAGTTGGCAACCGTGGGGGAAACTCGAGGCGTGGCGGGAACGCGGCGGGATCAAAGATTCCGTCTGCTGCCGCTTCCACCTCGTCTCCGAGGAAGGAGGCGGCGGCGGCAGCGGGGCTCTCCTCATGTCGGAGATACTCGTCGGCGCCGAGAAGGGCATGGAATTTTGCATAGACACCGAGAAACGGGTTCCGGAAGCGGTCGGCGGCGGCGGCGAAATGTCAGTTCCCGGCAGTTTCGTGATGAGGTGTAGGGTGCAACCGGAGGGGAAGTGCCGGAAGCTTCTGGTGCAGCTGGCGATGCGGCACGTGACTTGCGTGGAGGACGCCGCCATCTTCATGGCACTCGCGGCGGCCGTTGATCTCAGCGTGGAGGCATGCAGGCCGTTCCGCGGCCGGAGGCTCGTGAGGGGCCCGCGCCGGCATTCATGGTGACATATGCCTTCTTGTTGAAGTAGCACACTTTGAGTGTTCATCTGTTTCTATCAGCTGGCGAATAGAGGCACTGATCTGATATCTGTATTATCTTTGATGGTTGTAATAACTACTGTGTCCTCATGTATAGAAACAGCAGTTTGGTTTTTGTTGGTGAAATCCATTTGCAATGTTACATTATTGTAACGTGAGGGAGTAAATTACGGTATAATCTTAGGGTGTTTGACCAAACGAGCCCTTAGAGAGTTATGCCTCCATAAGTCATAATATGAACAATATAAGTGGTGACTTTAACAAGTGAGACAAGTGTATCAAAATAAATTATAGTGACAATTAAGAGAAAATCTACAAAACACTAAAGGACAAATCTGAAATTACATAATGTCAAACAATTAGGTAACTCAAAGCCTTTCTTTTTCTTGAATAGATTCATTTCACATGACATGGTCAGTTTGAACACAAATGAGAACAATGCAATAATTGAGATCATCATCAACATTTCAGCATCATATTCTCAAGTGCCATTAAAACTAGTGCCAATTAATTGTTCAAAATTAACACTAAACTTAGACCACCAAATGGGATACATTTTTGGTCATGGAACAAAAACATTTCGGACAATGTACAACCGTTTGTGTAACGGTCTTCCTCTCGCATGACCATATATAATAATAGGTCATGCTAAGCCACACCATGAATGACACCAAGGTCGAAATCATCAATGCATCAACAATTGGCTATTTGTGCATAATTCTCTATGATGGTGTCAACCTTGGTGTCATATCTGGAGGAGATAATTTAGCTATTTTCAATAAAAACACATCTACCTATCTACATTGGTTTTTCTAGAAAGGTGATGATGATACAACAACATTAAGGTTCATTCAAACATTCAAACTGGAAAAGACTCCTAGTATTTTCTTTCCCATTTACCTTCACGCCTCCCGTCGCGTTCTCGTCGTTCCATGATTTGTCTACTAGGCTTGCCCGCGCCACTCCCTCCTCTCAAAGATCCTCCGTGCTTTTGGGAGGGTGCAAAATGCGTAGGCGTGGCCCCATCAAGTGACGTGGATGCCATGTCAGCATCGCCGCCAATGCTCGCCGTGTCGCCCGAATCCCTGCTCCCTTCAAAGTTGTCGTCGTAACTGTTGCCAGCTTCATCTGATCTGTCGCGCGATTGGGTAACGGTCGGTTGTTGGGTTGAGATTGGTCTGGGTCCCATTGCCTCGGCGTTGGATTTCAACAAGGCCCCTTCACTTGCCCCTCTGCCGCTCTCTCTTTCCCTATATCTTTCCCGGGGCCTACACGAGACTAATCAGTCACAATGACCTTACATGTCCTTTTTGGTGTGTGTGTGTGTGTGAGTTACCATCAAGCAGTAATCTTATCACTTGTTATATAAAGGTAAATAAGGGTCCGTTTGGGAAGGAGGGAAATGACATCTGAAAGTTATCACGTTTCATTATGTCAGAACAACAAAAACTAGTCTTTTTTTTTCATTTTTCAAACTTTCAACCAAACACCAGAAAAAGAATTTGTTTTCATCTTTCCAAACCGATCCTAAAGGACTTAATAAGCTGAGCAGTGAGCACTTGCCTACTGTGTGAGGATGAAAGTTCTCGTCTTGACGGGCGGAGACCAGATTCTACTTGCTCAAGTTCCTTCTGCAGCTCTCTCTGCATATCAGTAAAATATGACCTTAGCCTCTATGTGTTTATACTTCCTGAATTTGGTACATTATAATGTTTTTTTTCCTGGAAAGATTTTCCTGTGTTTGGCACATGAAATTATTTCCCATCAAGGAAATTTCCTCTTTAATCTATAGACTTTTGCGAATAACAACTTATCTTATTCTTTTTATGGTTTCTAATTTCTTTTTACCTGCAATTGCTTTTCTTTCTCCACGTCAAGATCGTGCTTTAACTCCCTGGTTTTAGCACGCTCGAGTTCCAGCAACCGCTGTCTCTCAATCTCCCTTTCTGCTACTGCAGTCCTCTCTCTTACACATTTAAGAAACTAACATCAACACAAATTGCAATCGAAGTTCTCTAAGGCTATGTTTGGAACCCACAAAATGGTAGGGAAAGAGAAATATTTTTAAGATTTTACATGTATTGGTATTTCTTAGTCTATACTCTTTATATGTAGGTAGAAAATGAATAAAGCATAGAAGAGAAAACCTATCCAACTCTTGAAGGAGTTGTGCTTCTCGTATGGCTGCCTCTTCCAAGTATGATTCACGGGCACGCCTAGCAAGTATCTTCCTTTGCCTGCGTGCTTCTATCTGTTCTCTGAGTTGGGCCTTCTCCCTGAAAATAACAAAGATCATTGAAATAGATTTGAACGCCAAATCCTGATGAAAATAGTTGTAGTTCACTTCATCCCCTTGCAAAGGGTGAAAGTGACATCTTTTGCAGCAAAAAAGAATAGGTATACAATAACATTCATACATGGATCTTATTCCATCTTTGATTTTCTGCAAACGGTCATCATCCTTTGCATACTCTGTGTAAGAATTTTGAGGCAAGAGAGTATCAGCATAATAGAGCTTTTCACATTAGAGTTTATAAGAGAAGGCTAAAATAAAGGAGGCCGAGTTGGTCTTAGTGATTTCGAGTTAATGTGTCAAACAGATTTTACTTCTCCTAAAAGTGTTTTTTTAAAAACATGTCAAACACTCAATTAATAGAAGCATACTAAATTAGTGATGAGTAATGTGTCACAGCACTAATTAATTAATGGAGAAGATCACCTTCTATCAGGGGAAGTGGATGTTGATGTTTGAAATCATTGGCTAACTTCTGCAAAGCACTTTCTTTTTGAAGAAGCTCCATTTCTATCTCAGCTTCCTCCAACTCCTGAAATTAAAATTTAGGTCACTGATTGAGTGAGAAAATAGACACTACACCCAAACATTTAGAAGGGAAAAAAAACTTACCAGAACCTTGCGGTCATGTTCCTTGGAGAAAAAATCTAAGTACGACTGGACAGAAGTTAGATTTGTAACAACCTGCAAGAAATTTGCAAGTAATTTTGTGTGTATAAATAAATAAAATAAGAAAGTTTTGATTGGTTATAAGAAAAACAAAGAATGATAAAAAATTAAAAGCAGCCTTTTTTTGGTATACCATCCATACATTTTAAATGTATACTATATTATTGTTACTGTGTTAGAACTAAGACTTGAGCTGACATAATTCATTCTTAAACTGGTAGGGTAAACTCTGTACCTGAAGAATTGTTTCGCGTGTACTTACAAATGCAGGGTCCACTTGTTTCGGAGAACGTGAATAGAGAGCATCCGTCAAGACCTTTCAAACATGACCCAGGAATGTTAAAAATATTTTTCAAAAAAAAACCCCACAATGTTTAAAATGTAAAGAAACATGAATAGAAATGGAAACAGATTTTGTCATTGACGCATCACATGCAATCCATGCATTATAGACAGTTTCCTTTAAAAAATAATAAAATCGCACTGCATACCTGTTTGGCCTTATCCCCTTCTTTTCTCATCCTACATAAAGCTTGGCATACCCTTTTCTCGGGGCCCGTGGACATTTTTTCTACAAATAATGTAAGTAACGCATAAAGACAAACATGCTGAAACAATTCCAATTGCATTGTAGTAACTAGTAACTCTTAGGGGCTGTTTGGCAACTTCTGAATAGGTAAGTGCTGAATCAGTAAGAGAGGTCTGAACCATTAAGTGCTGAACCAGTAAGAGGTCTGAACCATTAAGAGCTAGTATATTGCTTAACTAAAGTCTCCGTTTACAGACTAGTTAAGTCTATTCTCCAGAATTGGTAAGTCTGAGACATATTATGAATTGGTAAGTCTCCGTTTAGAGAATTGGTAAGTCTGTAGACTTGGTAATTCTCCGATTTTGTAACAGTCTGAACCATTAAGTGCTGAACCATTCAGACATCTGAACCATTAAGAGGCTGAAACAAACAGCCCCTTAAGATAGTTAAAAGAATGTTAAACAAACAATATACCATTTCCAGCAAGTGTAAAGTTTTCAATTCCTTGCCACAGATTTTGAGGAATCAAAGAAATATCTTCGGCTGGTGAGTATAGGCAAACACAGGCAATAAGTGCAATAGAGAGTTGTGTTAATGGGCCTTCACACATGGGCTGAGTGAGTTTCGTCAAAGACTGAAGGATTTGGTCAGCCGCAGCAAGAAAACCTTGCAGTTTGGGTCTTTCAACAAATGGGACATACTTCACAAGAAGTGCAATTGCATGGATTCTCAAGGGTAGTGATGCATCAGAAGAAGCCAGCAAAGCCACTTGATCCCAAGTGCTTGACACCAGAGCAGAAGGTACAACAGGCTCTGATGGAAATGCTTTATCATCAATTAAAGTTGGCATTAAGAAATCAGATCCGCCACTTCCATTTAGACTTACAAGTTTTCCCAGTTGTTTAAGCCCAATGAAGCGCTGTTCTGGCTCTGGATGGCTAAGAACTGAACAGAAGAGATCAATCAGAGCTTCACCTTCTTGGATGCCTCTTGCAGAAAGTGATGTCACCCACTTATCTGTTTGTAGACGCCAAGCAATTGTGGGTGCCTCTTGTGAAAATGTTTGTATTGCAGCGCATATATTATTGACCGAGCTGTGCATGTCAAAGATCTGAGGCACGTGAAATAGACAGTCAAGGATCACTGATGCAACCTCCCAGCAATGGCTTTTCAGAAGCAATATAACCATTTCAGAAAGTCCTTCAAGACTAATTGTCCAATGATTAGGAAATCCAGTACAAGAAGTTGAGTTGGGCAGTATTTGCAGATCAGCTCCTCTGGAAACAGAAACTTGTTCAGCAACATAAGCCAAGCATTTTAAATACAAGAAACATTCTGCACAAACTAGTGTGAGATTCTTGGCGAGTTTAGGATGAATTCTGTAACATTGTTCAATGTTCTGACAGAGCTTGGAGATAAGGGTACCTAGACTCTTGGTGAAGATATCAATTTCATCAATACTTAGAAGGCATTTGTCATTCACGCCACAGTCATTATTGCTACTTTGGTTCAGCTCAACTGAAACGTCATGCACATCTTCAAGAAAACATGAGAATTCAGATATATCATCATTTTTTGCAGCCATGTCCATGTTAGAAAATTGAGAGATCTTGCATGGAATGATACCCCAAAATCTTAGCAGGTCAACCATCAAAACCTTGCAACGTTGCATGAGAGCCTCATATGCACA